AACGCCAGGCAGCGGGCAGCCAACCTGGCTGCTGTCGCCAGCAGGGGGAAGAGCAGAATGGGCAAGGGCCGTGCAGGGACAGGGGCACCTAGTGACATGGGAAGGGCTTTGTGAACTGTAGGGGGCTGGGCCCAGGGGAGGGCATGTGCTCACTCCCCTGCCCAGCCTGTCTTTCTGAGTCCAGAAGAACCTGTGTTTCGCCCCACCTGTGGCACCCAGGGGTGGGGACGTGGGAGGAGGGAGTGGCAGGGTGCTGCCTGTGCGGGGAGGAGGGCACCCCTCACCTCCCGAAGCTTTCTCCTGGGCTCTTCGGTTTGAGGGTTGGGGTCAGCACAGGGGTGGAGATCTTAATTTTGGACCCTACTACCTGCCGTCCTGGGACCCAGCCAGGCGGTTTGTGGAAGGCTAGGCGATCCCAGCTGGCAGCCAGGGAGATGGAGCTGAGATCCAGTGATTCCCAGGAAAAGATGCCCGCAACCCAGGGTTTTGGGATTCATTGAGGAATGTGGTCTTCAGGACTTTGAACCCGGATGAGTCGTGAAATTTCAGAAGAAAAACGATGGCTGTGCCCTCCCATCCCACTAGGGACACAAGGAAAGGATCCTCCTGGCCCATAGCAGAGAGCCATAAGGAGACCCTGAAACCTTTAGGGAAGGCCAGACAGCTGGTTGCCTGGCACCAGTCACCGCCCCTGAAATCATTGCGACACTCAGGCCCCACGCATGTGTTTGCATTTGCGCGTGTTTGGGCGCAAGGCCCAGAGCCCACCTCTCAAGCTCCTAAGTGTCAGCCATTGTGATCCAGATTGGAAAAGAAGCCAGTTCCTCCCTGGCCACCTGGGGCACATCCCCTCTGAGTTCTCGCACCTGTCCTCCTCCAGGGTCCCCGTGAGACCCTGTCCTGGCTCCCGCCTCTCTCTGACCATCTGCTGCAGCTGCCAGGCCCCAGCCTCCTCCTCCTCCATTCCTGGTGAGGGCCAGCCCCAGCCCCCTGGTGGCCTCTTCCTCCTGCCCCGACAGCCCCTGGCCTCCCGCACGCGGTCCCCTCTCCATCCGTGCTGCGGTCGATTGTGGGTGCCTGGACTCCCACCCCTGCGCGGTCCTTGCTGCAGGAAGCTCCGTTGACTGCGTAGCCCCGCCTGCCTCGGATGACAGCCTGCAGGAGGGCCGCGCGTGGCTGGCGTGTGCGTGTGTACACTGCCAGCCGCCACGGCGCACCAGCCGTCCCTCCCCCCAGACCACGACGGCATTATGTGAATGAGCGCGGCATCCGCGGCTCCTCTCCTGGCATCAATCCGGACCGAGTTGGGTGTGTGGGTGACTGCAAAATAAATGTTGATTACAGCGCCGGCTCCGGGAGGCAGTGCTGCTAGGGGCCCTGCGGGGTTGGCAGCCCAGGCTGAGTCACGCTGGCTGCGGAAGGGCGAGAGCGCCCTGCCAGCCCTGCTGCTCGAGGGGCCTCGAGCCCCGGCACCGCCGCTGCCCGCTGCTCCTCTGCGTTCTCCGCCTCCCCTTCTCCGCGCTGGGGAAGGACCCGTTGTCCCCGTGGGCCTTTGGGGAGGGGCTTTCTAGCCAGCAGGGCCCCTCCAGAGGACCCAGGCCCTGCACCCTGAAGATCTTTCTCTTTAGCTCGCAGTGCGTTCAGCCTTCTCTAGGCAGGGGGAGCTCTTACCGCGGGCCACAGAGTAGACTGAGGCCGTGCGGTGTGAGGGACAGGGCCAGGCCGCGGTCTGTGCAGCCTGGGCTCACAGTGTCTGTCTTCCGGAGCACTGGTCCCCGTGGAAGAAGGTTCCCAAGCCCTTAAGTTTAAAAAAAAAACAAAAACCAGTTTTTTTGTGCTTTCATGACACATTTTGTGCTTATCCCCTAATACTCTGCACCCCGGTTCTGTGGCTCTTAATCCTGTCTCTAACCAAACTGTGAGCTCCTTGAGACAAGGGATCTCTGTGCCCCGCAAGCCCCCAGCACCGCTTGGCCCCTGCAGTGGGTGATGAGAGGAGTCCTAACTGCAGCAAGATCCCAGTGTGCCAGCCTCGCTGTCAGGTATCGCATTTCCCGACTCTCTCTCGTCTTCTCTGTGTGCACACACGTGCTTGTGGTACTGGGGACTGAATCAGCTCAAGGCCTTCACACCGAGTTACATCCCCAGCCATTTTATATATAACTTTTAAAAGTTGTTTTTAATTTTTATTTATTTTTTTTTTTTGAGACAGGTTCTCACTAAGTTATCCATATTGGGCTACAACTTGTGATCCTCCTGCCTCAGCCTCCCACAGTGCTGAGATTACAGGCGAGTACCACCACAGCTGGCTTTATCCTTTATCTTAAAAGCCTAGAGGTTAGACTTAGCCTCCGTTGGTGCTCTGGTATATCTGGTGAGCTTAAGCAAGTCCTGAACTCCTGGGCCTCAGTTATTTCCTCTGTAAAATGGGTTTTGTTGCCAAAATGCCCTGATCTGTAACATGATCTCATTAGGGGTCTGTGCCCTGCCTGTCTCTGTGCCCACTGCAGAGAAGGACACCTAATCCCATCACAGCTGTCAGTTACAGGCAGGCTGGGCAGCCTCTCCAGCCAGTCCAGGAGCCCAGGTCTTGGGGCTCTGATGGACATCAGTCCGCGCCACCCCACCACATGCAGCAGAGTTCTCAGCTGCAGCCAGACGCCCTCACAGCCTGTGGGCTCCTCCAACCCAGGCCCCTCTCCTCTCCGTGTGACTTATGTTTCTAGGGGACTTGACACCGTTTTCCACCAGCTGATCTATTCTCCCTGTCACGTTACAACAGTGGGGCCACAGCCATAATCGGCTTGCTTTATTTTCTCTGGTAAATCTGTTCCTGGACCTTTGTTTCTCCTGTCATTTCTGATCACCCGAGATTAAACACAGCCACGGAGAAGCCGGGAGGAGGCTGGGCAAGGGGCAGATGGGACGCCGGCAGAGGTGCAGCGGGAAAGAACATGACTCCAGTGGGCTCAGGTCTTGCCTGTGTTTCTTGGCAGCTTTGTCGCTTAGACAAAGAATAGCTTCTCCAAGCCTCAGTGTGCTCATCTGTAAAATGAAAACGCCATACTAGGGATCAGTAAATGATGGCTAGAAAATGACTGCAAAGAGCAGACAGCTCTTACTTCTGCCTTTAGCGAGATGGGTGGAGAGCCTAGGGCCATGCTTCCTTCTCTGGGGCAGCTGAGGACCACGGGAAAAAGGGCTTTGTGGGTGTGGCTGGGGTGCGATCCACAAGTGCTAGGCAAGCACTCTGCCCAGAGCTGCACCCTCAGCCCTCAAGATTTTGCAGAACTGAAAATTCCCACCATGTTTGCACGAGGATCTGCTTGCTGCGCGCCTTGGCCTGGGTCTCGGCCACCAGGCAAAGTGGGCCGGGAGAAGAGCCTGGGCAGCGGCATGGTTGGCTTTCCCTGGCCCTTGGGGAATTCCTGTCTTGGGCAGCACTGTGGGGGATTTTGGGGATGGGCTTAAGCCACGTTGTAGGACCTCCCCGGCTCCAGCCTGGGTTCTTGCTTTCCCTTAACTTGACCTTTGGGGGAGCTCAGCCCCTCTCTAGGAAGTGAGGCTTCCCTGCCCCCCCGCCACCATCCTATGTATAGCTATGTCCCCAGCCCTTTTTAATTTTGCATTTTGTTTTGTTTGTTTGTTTTGTGACAGGATCTCACTATGTACTTTAGGCTGGCCTGGACTCACTGTGTAGATGAGGCTGGCCTTGAACTCAAGGTGATCATCTTGCCTCAGCCTAAGTGCTGGGTAATTTCGCTTTTTTTTTTTTGGTCTTTTTGAGACAGGGTCTCTCTACACAGTGCAGACTGGCCTTGAGTTCACTTTGTAGTCCAGGCTGGTCTCGAACTCACAACTATCCTCCTGCCTCAGCCTCCCTACTGCTGGGATTACAGGCGTGTGCCACCATGCCCGGCTATTTTGCATTTTGAACAATTTTTTTTCCTGGCTTTTTGAGATAGGGTCTTGCTATGTAGTTTAGGCTGGCCTTGAACTATGTAGCCCAGGCCATCCTCAAACTCACAGAGTTCTTCCTGCCTCAGCCTTTTTTTTTTTTAACCCCTTTGGGTAACAGGAATTGAACTCAGGACCTCATGCTTGTCAGGCAGGCACTGAATTTTAAATTTTGAGACAAGGTCTCACTCATTAAGTTGGCCAGGCTGGCTTCAAACTTCAGATCCTCCTGCCTCAGCCTCCTAAAGTACGAAGATTATAGGCATGTGCTACCAAGTCTGGCTGTGTGTTTTCTTCCATCCTGCTGCTGCTGAGGTCAGCAGGAAAGCTCCATTGTGGTGGGCAAGGAGTGTTCCGAGATCTGTCTCCTGCCCTGCACTGTGGGGACTCAGACCCTTAGAGAGGCCCCAAGAGAAAAGAGACCAGGGCTAATGGGAGGAGCCGGGGCTGATAGAATGGAGTTTCTTTTCCTTTCCTTCCTTTCTTCTTTTTTATTTTTAAGCAAGAGGTAAATAAATGTCACACTGGGATGACAAGAGAACACTGAAGAAGATAAAAGGACAGCAAAAGGGAGCGAGAGGCCAGAAGCAAAGGACATGGGGCGATTTGGGCTCTGCCCTGCGATGCGCAGAGAGATGAAAGAGGAAAGAGATGCGATGGGATCGCAGGACTGAGTGGCAGAGCGGAGGATGGGGTTGCCACGGAAACGGAAGAGGGGAGGGATGGAGGGAGAGGAAGATAGGATGGAGCCAGCATGGAGGGCTCAGGAGAGAGGAGGGAGGGAGGGGTCGAGGTGAGGCTCAGGGAGGGGGTGGGAAGCCACAAGGGGCTCCTGGGTCTGAACTGAGGTTGGCGGGGGAGAAAGACGCCACCCAGGAAGCCCACCTTTGCCAAGACCAGACAGGATAGATAGATAGATAGCCCTCTCCACCTGCCCGTCGGGACTGCCTCAGTTTCCACAGCTGTAAGGCACAAGTGCTACTCCCCACCCCCAAAGGGCCGTCCCAGGGTCTAGGAAAATCACATGCTGGTGACGGACCCGACTTTCCGTCAGCTGCTCACGCCTTCCCTCCGCTCCTGATTCTTACCCTTGTCTCTTCAAACTCAGGCGCTAAGGTGTTGTTTCTCCGTCACATGAGGCTGATGACTTTGGGGACCAGCACAGCGTTCTTGTTTGAGGGACCAGAGTACTTTTTGCTTCTGGGATTGGAAGAGACGCAGAGCCTTCCAGAAACCTGAGGCTGGCTGTGCCTTCCCCGGGAACCAGAGCCAGTGCTGCAGCTCAGGTTTGGGGTTTCTGCTGAAGCCAGGGGTCTCTCTGCTCTGTCTACCCCGCAGATGGCTCTCACAAAAGGGCACCGAGGCACTCTGTCATGGATGCCAAAGATTAAGCAAGTGATTGCACAAACAGATCATTAACAGACAGTTAAAAGTTATAAGGTCTAACAAGGAAACTTGAAGCTGCTCAGAACTTGGGGCTCAGGCCTGGTTTAGGGGACTAGAGAAGGGTGGAAATGGGGAAGAACATTGCAGGCCCCACGGGATGTGATCGAGGGTGGCCCGTGGGGTGGATGTCACCGGGGGTTGGTGCAGGCCTGGTGCTTGTTTTGGTTCCCTCCCCCTTGGCGGAGTGTTTGAGGGCAAGGGGCAGACATGGGCCAGGACACTCGAGCGATGTCCTGCAGGAGGGCTGAGTGCTGGAACCCCTTGCTGCCCACATCCCACGGCACCCATGCCCACAGCCCCCAACCCATGGACCGCACATAGCACTGCAGGGCACAAGGGGGTCACATTTAGCACAGGTGGAGGAAACACACTGGGAGTCGAGAGTTCCTGTTGCGGGGAGCAGAATCCTTCGGTTTCCCCATCTGGAAAAGGAGGGTCCCCGAACTTCTCTCAGCCCCTTGGGGAAGACTGCAAGACTTGCTTTGCGGGCCACAGCCAGAGTGGCTCTGACAAAGGGTCTGCAGCAGGCCGCTGTCCTGCCTCGGGGAAGCCGGTGTCCCTCCTTGGCATCAAAGAACATGACAGGTCCACCCTGGGTGTGTGCCAGGCAGGCGGGAGGATGGGGCCATGGCTTCTGGGGACCCGTGACCTTAGACCCGAGATGACACAATACTGAGCATCGCGGCCGCCCTCTCAGTCTCTCTCATTCATCCGTTCTTGGTTCTGCGGTGACAATGGTCAGCTGCCTCCCCTCCTCCTCATGCTGTCCTCTCTTTCCTGAGCCCACTGTCCACAGTCTACACGGGGGCCACGGGCCTCCTAAACAGATCTCATTAGCAATCAATGTGACTGCCAGTCGGAGTTCACCAGAGCAGTGGAAGCGAGAGGAGATATGCACGGGGAGAGAGCGGTGCACAGGTTATTTTGGGAAGTTGGCTCACGTGCTTGTGAGGGCCGGCAGGTTGGAGTCTGCAGAGCAGGTGGGCGGGCTGGGAACTCGGACCGGATTTGTAGGTTACGGAGGCAGATTTCCCTCTGGGGAAGCGGCAGCTTTGTTCACAGGGCCTTCCAGAGATGGAGGAGGCCCCCGCACGCCCGGGGGCTCCCCACTTCACAGAGGGGGCTTGTGGATGTTAACCACCTCCACAGAGTACCTTTACAACGCCATCTGCGTGAGTGTTTGACCAGACCATGGGGCACAGCCACGGGGACGCAGAAGTGAACTGGCATGGACTGGGCTGCAGCTCCTTGGAGCTTGCCCAGCATGCACAAAGCCTTGTTCCATGCCCAGCATCAGGAAAGATAACGCAGAACTCAGCCGCCCCGGCGATGTTCCCAGGCAGGGGGAGGGGCCCTCGGCCTGCCCCAGAACACTTCCTGGCAGGTGGCCCTAGATGCCATGGGGCAGGGAAAATGCCAGGGAATTTCTAGTGCCAAGGAAGGGCAGACCTGGCAGAGCCCCCATCAGCCCAGGGACAGGAGAGGGGCCTGATAGGATGGCATTGGATGAGGTGTGCACATGGTGTCTCTCAGGCACAAGGCTGAAGGGAGGTGTTCTAGGCCTTTCTCAGCACCATCTCACTATGGGACCTTGAATGAGTCCCTTCCCTCCCTAGACCTCAGCTCTACCCCCAGCCTGGTTTTTTTGTTTTTTTTTTTTGTTTGTTTTTTGAGACAAGGTCTTGCTATATAGTTTAGGCTGGCCTCAAACTTACACCAGTCCTCCTGCCTCAGCCTCCTGAGTGCTGGCATTACAGGTGGGCACCACCAGGAGGTAAGCCATAGTGGCATATACTTGTAGTTGCAGCTACTTAGGGGCTGAGGCAGGAGGATCACTTTAGCCCAGAAATTCAAGGCCAGCCTGGGCCACATAGCAAGACCCCACTTTAAAATAAATACAGTGGGGGAGGGGGACAATCAGACCCTTGTTTGCTTGGTGGCCCGACCACTCCAGCTCCTGGAGTTGGGCTTCAGTATATCTGTCCACAGGGAAAGGGGAAGCTGAGGCAGAGATGGAATCCAGAGAGGAAGAGACTCATACACTTCCCCTGGGCCACGCCACCCCACCCCCAGGCCCCCGGCACTTTGGAGCCCGGGCTGTGCCCCTGAGCAGAAGTGAGACTGGCAAGGAGCCGCGGCTTGCACAATCCTTGGGCACTCGCTTCCGCTTCCCGGGTTCTCTTCCTGGGTCCACCTCCTGGTCTACGGGGAGGATGGTGGGGCGGGGGCAGAGTCCAGAGCCCCGACTTCCCTCTCCCCTCCTTGGGGCAAAGGGCAGGGCACAGCTGAGATGGGCCTGAAGGGAATGCCAGGTCACATTCCAAGAGGCCTGAATATCACTTGGGCCCTGCAGGGTCATGCAGGGTGGCATCTCCTGCCGCCCTAAGATCCTGTCAGGTCCGCTCCAGGAGGGCAGGAATTTTGCTTGGCTTTCTTGGTCTGCACTGGCTGGTACCCGATAGGCACTCAGTCAGTGGCTAAGTTGCAGGATTAGAGCCTGGTGATTCAAGGCCAGCGTCAAGGGACCAAGGGCAGAACTGGGCTGGGCCTATGCCTGTCATCCCAGCACTCTGGGAGGCTGAGGCAGGAGGATTGCAAGTTGAAACATAGCCTGGGCTGCTTAGCAACCTAGCAAGACTCTGTCTCAAAAATAAAAATGAAAAAGAGCTGGGGGTGTAAATCCAGTGGAAAGGCCCCTGGGTTCAATACCCAGTACCAGAAAGAAAAAGCAAACCTAAGCCCTCAGCATATGCCCTGGTCACCACTGAACTGCACTAGGGAGCTAGGACCTAGCAGGCCTCAGGGAGTGGTCATCAAACTAAACCAGTCACAGCGTCCTGTGTCTTCAGCAGCTTTTGGGCAGCCTCCCTGGTGCTGGGAGTTCATCAAAGCAGATTCCAGTGTCACCAGGTCCTGTTGGTTCAAAATGGCTCTTGTCCCACCAACCCCAAGCCAGGCCAGGCCAGACCTTAGGGCTGACCCACCCCAGAGCCGGTACCCGACAGCTTGAGGAGGGGACCCTGCACCACAGGCACGCAGGCCAGGGGGACACACACTCTGTTTCAAGTGGGCCTTGTGCCTATTTTATACACAAGGACACTGAGGCCTGAAGGGCCAGAGGACTTGCCCAGGGTCACAGGGCTGCCATCAGTGGTTATGGGAACCTTAGTAGAGTGGAGAAGGGGGAGAAGCAGTAAGTGAAGTAGAAGGAAGAGACACGGGGCAGGGCCCGCACCTGGGTTGGGAAGGTCTCCTGGTGGGACCCTCGCTAGGGTGGTGCCTAGACCTGGGAATTAGGGCAGGCTGGCTTCCGGTGTCCCCTCCCCCTCCCTGGCTTTGTTTCTTGGCCTCCACAGCATGTGTGTGTCTTCTTCCCTCCCTCCCCCTCTGTCTTTCTCTCCCTTCCTTCCCCCAGCTTAGGCTCCCCTGCCCCTCCCCCCGCAGTCTCCCTCCCTTCCTCTCTCTGCATGTCTCCCTCCCTCCATCTCTCCCTCTATGGCTTCCCTTCCCCCAGCACATCCACACCAGCCAGCTCCTGGGTCTCCCTCTCCCTGTCTGTACCACCTACTTCCTCCATGCCCTGGAGATGGCCGGAGTCCTAGCTGTGGGGAGCTGAGGGACACCTGGGGTTACCAGCCCAGGCTGTGGAGGGCCCAGGGCTCTTGCCAAACCTGCTCTGAGCCCACAGCCTAGGAGGTGAGGGCCTTGCCCGAAGAAGGGAGAGGCCACCCAGACCCTGGGCAGGTGGCTGATGGGCCTGGGGGCACCTGGAAGGCTCTGCTCGGGCGCTGGGCGTGAAGCAGAAGCAGAAGGAGCCACGGCATGGGGAGGGGGACCCAGGCGCTGGCCCGGCAGGGAGAGGGTGGTTTCCAGCACTGCTGCCATGCAGCACCCACGGACGGCAATGGGAAGGGGCAGTCGGAGCCCCTGTCCTCTCCTCTCCTGACGTGGTGGACGCGCATGCACATGCACACACGTGTGCACATAGCCCGCACCTGCCTGGGACAGGGTAGCATGGGTGCAGGGCTCAGGCAAGTGTCTGTCCCCTTGAGAGGACAGGTGGACCCGGATACCCTCGGGGGTCCCAGTCCCCTCCACCTGGCTTCCCCTGCCAGGCCAGGAGAGGGTAATGGCACAGTTGCCCAGGTCTGGCTTGGGTGCTCCTGCTGGGCCCTGGCCACCAGGCAACTTCTGCTTGTTGAAGAGGCTGCGCTCAGAGCCCTGCAGCCCACGTGCGCAGGGCGGCCTGGGTGCGAACGCCGCTCTACCCCACAGGCAGGGCGCTCTTGGACACCCTGTTTCAGGGCTGGGAAGTGGGATTGCTTCAGGGTTAAATGGCTCCCTGGCACAGGGCAATGATAAGCTGGAGCCCTTCCGCCTGCATTTGTGGTTCACTGTTGGCACCTCTCCATGCCCACCCCCGCCTCCGCCCCCACCCGGTCGCAGAGCCCTCCAAGGTCAGGTCTCCGGCTGCATGAGGGAGGGCAGACCTGACTGGGACAGGCTGGGTTTGCCAGTGTGATAGTAAGGACTTCAAGGCTGAGACGCGGGCCTCTCCCAGGAGGCCCCGCACCAGATCTGTGCTCCGGCTCCCATGTGGCTTGGCCCTCTGCCCTCTGAGGTAATGTTTCCTGGTGCCCTCCCCTGAGGTCACGTGGGGGGTTGTGGCTATCGACCTTCAGAGGAAGGATCTAAAGTCTACGCCAACACCTCATCTCTCCACTACCCACAGCCAGTAACCCTCTCCCCTCCACAGAGAGGAGGAGCGGAGGCTTGGGGCAGGTCTGGACTTGGCAGGGGTCACCCAGGTAATGAACTGCAGAGCGGATTTGAGCTCACAGTCCAGTACCCAGCCCCACGCACAGGCTTCGTCGGGTCGCTCAGTTCCTCTTCCCTTCGCGGGCCCTGCCTTTGGGGAAGTCTGGAAAAAGTGCTGAGCGCATTGTTTGCTCAAAGCCACAGCAGACACAGGAGGGCTGCCGCTGGCTGCTGCGTCAGAGGCGGCTGCGGTGACAGGAGGCGGCTGCGCTCCCCGGCTTGCTCAGGAAATGGGCAGCGGTGGTGGGCACGGCAGGCCCCTTCCAGGGCTGGCGGGGCAGGGCCCCCTGCTCAGCTTGCCCTCTCCACGCGCAGGGCCTGCTCCGCGGCAGGGCTTCGGCACTTACGGCCCCAGCGCTGAGCACAGAGCTCTTGTACCAGAGTCGTCCTTGGTGTCGCCAAAGCTTTGCTCCAGGCTGTCTCAGGAACTCTTCACACTGGTTAGGACTCTGCTGAGCGAAGTCCCTTCAGCCCCCATGTGACCTCTGGGGCCTTCACACCTTTGCCTGGGTGGGTGTCTCACCCCCATCCTTTAGATGGGGAAACTGAGGTGCAGAAAGGACGTTGAAGTGCCTTTGCTTAGTCACTTGTGACTGAGTGAGCTGGGACATAAAGCCAGGCGGGCTGAAGGTTCCTAGTCTCATGCCCTGTCCAGAGCTGGCATAGGAGTGGATGGTCCTGTTCCAGATGGACGCTGAGCCCCAAAAGTCCTTTCCCCCTACCCAAGAGCCCCACTGGAAGCTGATGGTGTAATCTTCCGGGCCTGTTCCAAGGAGGCTAAATTCCCGTCTCGGGTATTTTTAGGCGGCCGTAGGAAGGGGAAGCTGGTGGTGTTGGGGCGGCCTGGCCTGGCCTGGTTTCCTCAGGAAGGGCTGCCGGCTGCCATGTGCTCCCACAGCTCCACACCTTCCTCTCTGTGAGCTGGGCGCTGAGCCAGGCAGGCCTGGGGACCTGGGGATCTGGGGACCTGGGGCCCAGAGGAGGCTCCACACGTCCACGGGCACACGGCCAGGACATCACGGTCCTGGGGAGCCCAGGGTAGGCCGAGGCAGGCAGAACCCTCTGGAAAGGCCAGGAGGCAGGGGACCAGTGGAACCCAGGACCTTCACACTGAGCTTTATTTTTATTGTGACAAGGTCTTAACTGGGCCCAAACTTGGAATCCTCCTGCTAGGGTCAGTACCTGAGCAGACGGGCATAGTTTACCAGCACCTGTGAGATCAGGGTCCCAAGCATGGTTGCCGCCAGGGGGCTGGATGTGTAAGTCAGATAACAGCTATATTTTCCTTGGTGTAAATTTAGATATTGAAATGTGTGACACGGAGCTAGTCCAGAACAATGACCTGTGTGACAGGCAGACCCTTGGTGATGGGGCTGATGAGTGGCGGCCGATTCTGGAGACCCCTCCAGCACCTAATTTATTGTTGTGTCTTGTCCTCATTCACACAGCCCAGGTGTCACACACGGTGACACTTTTCTAACACCTCCCTCACGGTGCAGACCCCGGGTCTGTGCGAAGTTGATGGCTTTGGCAATATGGCCAGTGGGGCTCCTGCATGCCAGAATGAATGTGGTGCATAGTACATTTGAGTAGGTGGGTTTTTAAGCCAGCTTTTATAATCATAGATGGTTACTTTTTGCATTTTCAGTCAGATTTCTGAGAACTTCTTCAGGGGCCTATTCAAGAGTCACTGAAGGGAACCCATTGTACAGTTGGGAAGACTAAGGCACGCAGGGCAGGGCTCACCCAGGCCCCCACAGGGCAACAGAGGAGACAGACACACAGAGGCGTCATTGCTCCCTGTAACTACAAGTGTGTCCCATTCCCAAGAGCAGTGTAAATAAGGCATCGGGCCAGACACGCCTCCATTAGCCCAGCCTGTGTCCACCCTGCCGTGCAGCCAGCAGCACTAACACTCCTCCTTCTCCTCCGCAGCGATGCCCTCCTAGCCAGCCACTGCGGGATGGAGGGCTTCATGGACTCAGGGACACAGACGGACGCCGTGGTGGTGCTGTCCTTGGCCCAGGCCGCAGTGCTGGGCCTAGTCTCAGAAAATGAGCTCTTCGGAGCCACCATAAGCGCTGAAGCCTTCTACCCGGACCTAGGGCCAGAGCTGTCGGGGGCAGCCATTGGGGAGCCCCGGCCGCCGGGCCCCAGTGTCTACCAGCTGGCTTGCAACGGGCAGGCCCTGGAGGAGCCGGTGGAGGAGGAGGTGCTGGAGGTGGAAGCGGCCTTCGAGAAGCACACGCGGCGGAAGACACGGCCACCCGTGCGGCTGGTGCCCAAGGTCAAGTTTGAGAAGGCGGAGGAGGAGGAAGAGCAGGAGGTCTATGAGGTCTCCGTGACTGGGGATGACAAGGGTGCGGGGCCACGCGAGGCCCCTGCTGAGGTCGCTGCGGGTGGCTGCGAGGCACTGGTGCAGAGCAGCGCCGTCAAAATGATCGACCTCAGCGCGTTCAGCCGCAAGCCCCGGACGCTCCGGCACCTGCCTCGAGCTCCAAGGCCGGAGCTGGACGTGGCCCCCTACGACCCTCACTTCCCCGACCCAGCCCGGGAAGGCTTCCCCGAGCCCAGTGTGGCGCTGCCCGGGCCAGAGGCCTTGCCCTCAGAGTGCGGTTTTGAGCCACCCCACCTGGCCCCCCTGAGTGACCCCAAGGTCCCCACCATGACCTCCCCAGAGCCCGTGAAGCCGGAGCAGGGCTTCGTGTGGCAGGAGGCGGGCGAGTTCGAGGTGGACGCCGCAGGCTCCACCGTGGAACGCCACAAGAAGGCCCAGCTGGACCGGCTGGACATCAACGTGCAGATCGACGACTCCTACCTGGTAGAGGCGGGCGACCGGCAGAAGCGCTGGCAGTGCCGCATGTGCGAGAAGTCCTACACATCCAAGTACAACCTGGTGACGCACATCCTCGGCCACAACGGCATCAAGCCCCACTCGTGCCCGCACTGCAGCAAGCTCTTCAAGCAGCCCAGCCACCTGCAGACACACTTGCTCACGCACCAGGGCACACGGCCCCACAAGTGCCAGGTGTGCCACAAGGCCTTCACGCAGACCAGCCACCTCAAGCGCCACATGCTGCTGCACTCCGAGGTCAAGCCCTACAGCTGCCACTTCTGCGGCCGCGGCTTCGCCTACCCCAGCGAGCTCAAGGCCCATGAGGTGAAGCACGAGAGTGGCCGCTGCCACGTCTGCGTTGAGTGCGGCCTGGACTTCTCCACTCTGACCCAGCTCAAGCGCCACCTGGCCTCCCACCAGGGCCCCACCCTCTACCAGTGCCTCGAGTGTGACAAGTCCTTCCACTACCGCAGCCAGCTGCAGAACCACATGCTCAAGCACCAGAACGTGCGGCCCTTCGTGTGCACGGAGTGCGGCATGGAGTTCAGCCAGATCCACCACCTCAAGCAGCACTCGCTCACCCACAAGGTAAGGGGCCCAGGCGCCACCCGCCTGCCCACCTTCGTCCGGGACCCTCAGAGCCCCTGTGGGAGAGTTCGGCTGGCACACACATGCTAGCAGGTATTGTTGGTAAGGCATTAGCACAACCAGGCGTGGCAGCACAGACCTGCAGTTTCAGCACTCTGGAGGGCTGAGGCAGGCAGATCACAAGTTCAAGCCCACCTTTGGCAACTTACTGACTTAGCAAGACCCTGTCTCAAAATAAAAAAAGGGCTGGGGGTATAGCTTAGTGTAAAATCCTGAATTGAATCCCCACTACTACAAAAAAAAGGAAAGAGGGTTTTCCTTGTACAGATGTATCTTGGTGAATATTAGAAATATAATTGGAATTAGATTTTCTTTTTTGAGGTGCTGGGGATCAAACTTACAGCTTCACATATGCTAGGCAAGTGCTCTACAGCCCCAGCCCCTGTTTAAAGTCTGTTTTGAGAGGTCTCAATGAGTTTCCCAGATGACCTCAAACTTGCAGTCCTGTTGCTTCAGCCTCCCAAGTAATAGAACTAAAGATGTGATGCCCAGCTGGGATTTTTTTTTTTAATACAGTAGTAAAGGGGCTGGGGGTCTAGCTCAGCGGCAAAGCGCCTGCCTGGCAAGCGCAAGGTCGTGAGTTCGGTTCCCAGTACCGGAGAAAAAAAAAAAAAAAATACAGTAGTAAAACTTTACTTATTAATTTAAAAGAATTCTTTTGGGGCTGGGGCTGGTGGCACACACCTATAATCCCAGCACTCAGGAGGCTGAAGCAAGAGGTTCATTGTGGGTTAGAGCCCAGGCTGAGCTAAACAGTGAGTTCAAGGCCAATCTGAACTCCATAGCCAGACTCTGTCTCAAAAAAAAAAAAAAAAAAGGTTCTCAGTGAAATGTTGGCAGAACCCAAGGAACACAGTTTGAAAATCACTGAAGTAACCTAACCTCTCATTTTCCGACTGGGAGGCCTGAGGCCTGAGAGAGGCCAGGACACCATAGGGACCTGGGCGATGTGGCCAGAAACACATCCCTTGCCTCTCCTCCTCACAAAAGTACATTGAAAGCCGTGGCTTCCTTTGGAGTAGGCCAGATGCCTTGGGTGAGAGCGGAAGAGGGGAAGGGAAGCGTTTGAGATGGAGCAGGGGGTTCTAGAGAGTGGTTTAGCAAGGGTCGTGAGGGCAGAAGACTGAGTGGCCCCTTTGTCCATGTCCCAGACCTAACTTGGACCCATCCATTCCCTGCGCCCTCCTCTTGCTTCCCTCCGGCCGCCTGTCCCCTGCCCTGCCTAACATCACCTCCTCACGTCGAGGCGGGTGGAACAGGGCCTCTCAGGGCCCAGGGCCCTCTCTGGCAGGTGGCTGACTTTCAGGGCTCAGTGTCCAGGGTGCTTCCTCCCTGCGTGTGGGAGCCACGGTGCTGCCGCAGGTTGGACCTGGGACCTGGTTGTCACTGCAAACATGACAGGGAGTGGGGTACAGCAGCCTGCCAGCCCAGCCTTGTGCAGCCCTGGGGGCTCCCTCTGCTGGGACAGGGACAATCTCACAGGTGTCCCTGCCAGGGCTCCTCCATTCGATGGGTGGCAGCTGCCTAAAGTGCGACACTACACAGATTCGGGGGCTCTGATTGGCTGTATCTGTGGGGCAGAGACAGTGGAGGAGATGGTCCATATACTGCTGTATTTGCCTTTTTCTCCTGTACTAGAAGACTTCCAAATCCCCTGCAAGTGAGCACAGTACTAAAAGATAAAATATACTGTGAAGGAAAGCTGAGAGCAAAACTCAAAAGCTAACAAAACAGAAAACATCCTTAGCATCAGCCTAAATCTACACCACGCACATGTGCCCACAGACTCCTGGGTGGCAGGGCCCCCTGGTGGTCAAGTTCCCATATGACAGCTCTCAAGGGTGCTAAGAGAAAGGGACCTGGGTCTGTAAAATGTGGAGTACTGACCCTGGGCTCAACCTCCAATCCCAGGTACATAATAAAAAATGTTCAGGACAAGTATATGGGCAGCACCAGTGCCTGGGGACACACATCTGTCCCATTGGGTTCCTCTGACATTACAAGCTCACCAGAGAGGACGGCTCCCAGCTTGGACCCCACCTCTCCCACAGACTGCAGGTGTGCGCCACCCGGGGAAGCCTGCGGACCCCATGCCTGAGGGTCTCCCGGCGCTGAGGGGCCCAGAGCTGGGGGTGGTGAATCATGTCAGGCGCACCTGCTGAGAATACAAGTTCCCAGAGGAACACCACAAGCCCCACGGCTTTAGACTCCATGGAAGGGCCTGAGAGGCTGGATGGGGACAAGAACTGCAGGTGGCTTTTGTCACCAGCAAGGGTTAGAAGATGCCCCTAGCACAGTCACCGGATGGGCTCTGACATGTTGAGAACCCAAGTCCATACAGAACTGGGTGTTTGTCATTTTTCCAGGTTGAGGGTCATAGCTTTAATCTCAACAGGGCTGTGGACCCAAAAGACCACCAGGGGGCAGCACTGAGGAGGAAAAAAACAACACACACATCCTTGGATGGAGTAGGCCAGGGCCATCAGGTGAAGGCCATGTCCCGAGACAGCAGGCCCCGGGTGCTGGCTTATTGTAGCAGGCGCGGTCAAAGGCACCTTGGTGTGCTAATGCGGACCTGTGTGCACACCCTCCCCGCTGAGCAGGCGCCACCAAGGCGGCACCAAGGCGGCACGCCCTTTCCACCTCTCCCCGGAGACTTCCTGGAGTGAGCAGCCTGCCTGTGCCCTCCTGGTGGTCTTCAGCAGGTGGTCCCCACTGGAAATATGCCTGGAGGAGACTGTCCCGCTGTGCCGGTGGACCCCACAACCCTGAAGCCTTTCCCACAGCTGCAGTCACCCCTCCCCGCACAGCCCAGGCATGGCCCTGACCTGGTCGCCCTTCCCCCCAGGGCGTGAAGGAGTTCAAGTGCGAGGTGTGTGGCCGCGAGTTCACCCTGCAGGCCAACATGAAGCGGCACATGCTGATCCACACCAGCGTCCGGCCCTACCAGTGCCACATCTGCTTCAAGACCTTTGTGCAGAAGCAGACCCTCAAGACCCACATGATTGTACACTCGCCCGTGAAGCCATTCAAGTGCAAGGTAGGACGAGCCCCACGAGGAGGCCAGGGGGAGCTGGGGTCCCGGCCAGACGCTGCCACCACTGCCACCAGGTCACCTCAGGAGCACAGCACAGAGAGGGCCCAGGTCCCGGACTCCGGGTGGCAGAGGTCGGTGGCGTTTCTGATGGCTGCAGTGCAGAGAGGACTGCCTGTTTCTTGCCTCTTGGGCCCGGCGGTCACACGGGAAAGGACAGCTGGGGCGCAGTCCTTTGCGGTGGGCAGGGGCCGGCGGGGTCACGGGCTGACGCGCCTGGTGTTGCAGGTGTGCGGCAAGTCCTTCAACCGCATGTACAACCTGCTGGGCCACATGCACCTGCACGCGGGCAGCAAGCCCTTCAAGTGCCCGTACTGCTCCAGCAAGTTCAACCTCAAGGGCAACCTGAGCCGGCACATGAAGGTCAAGCATGGCGTCATGGACATCGGCCTGGACAGCCAAGGTGGGTGGGCTGAGCACCAGGGACTGAGCAGGGGTGACCCGAGCGCCACCCCCTCGGGAGCCCCTCATTCGGGGAGGGCCGCAGGGAGGGTGGCTGAAGCCAAGAGCTCCCTGGAGCGGGCTCAGGGCCCGAGTGGGGCGACCCCGGAGGGCTGGCCTGGCCGTGATGGTGGGCATCCGTGTCTTCCTCCAAGGGCTCCCCCGGGCTCGCAGAAACCCTAAGAATAAAAGCAGTAACTTCATCTGTCGAGTGCCGTGTAACTCGTGTGGCCCCCACAGCGAGGCTGGGTCTGCTGTCACCCCAACCCACAGCGGCAGAAACCAGAGAACAGAGTCGGGTAACTCGAGGAAGCTCACGGTCCAGAGGGGGTGGCAGAGATGACCTCTGAGATAAGCACATGGGGAAAAAGTAACCAAAGGGGAAAATGGCACCTGGAAGGATAAGGGAAAGCCCAGTGAGGTCGCCATGGAGGACCTACAGACGTGGCGGGGGGTGAGCGTCCCTGCAGCCAGGACAAAGCGGTGCATGGCCAGTCTGTCCTCACAGCACCTGCCAGAGCGAGTGTAACCCACTTACGCGGGAGGGAGAAACGTCCTGCCAGCCGGGCAGCTCCAAAGCTGTTTGTTAGGAAACATCCAGTGTTAGCAAAAGCCCTGCCCCCAGCGCTGGTCAGAAGTACCAGGGCCCTTCTGCCGGAAGTGCCCCTGGAGCTGACCTGAGTCTCAGGCCTCACTGTGGGTAAGGCCGCCTCAGGTGCACGGGAAGGAGGGAGCTGAGGGCGCTTAGCGAAGCGCCTAGCACGGCCAGAGTTTCCACAGCAGCAGCCGTTTGGCTGCCGTATCCCTGACCTCGGCTGGGAATGGCCTGGGGTTCCCGGCAGGAGCAGGTGACTTGTTGGTTTGGATTTGTTTTGTTTTTCAGTAGTTACTCCTAAGGCTTCTGTCAGGTGTGGTGAAGCACACCTGTAATTCTAATACTCCAGAGGCTGAGGCAGGAGGCCTAAAATGCAAGGCCACCCTGAACTACACAGTGAGACCCCAAGACCCAGTCTCAAAAACACAAAACATAATAATACTTAGAAGACTTTGGTGGGCAAGGAGGATCCCTGTCGACAGCCTGCTGTGCCCTCGGTAGCCCCTTGTCACAAAGATCATGAGCACTGTACCACTGCTAGAAATAAGGACTCGAGCCCTGCCCAGGACTGCTAGTCAAAAAAAAAAAAGATCCCAGGGGCTGGGGATTTAGCTCAGCGGCAAAAGCGCCTGCCTGGCAAGCGCAAGGTCGTGAGTTCGGTTCCTGGTACC